CCTTCCGGCCAGAATTGTGCCAACACCCTTGAAGCCCAACTGAGGGGTGATGAGGGTGATTTGCTGAATAGCCGGTCTCTAGCATGAAGGTGTTTTCAAAGTGGCTCCTCTGAGCATGTCTTACACACATCACACCTCACCTCGGGAGACTTTGGACATGGGGTCAGGAGACACCCGTCCCTGCAGAAGGACATCGTGCTGGGTAAAGTGGAGGGGCAGCAAAGACGAGGAGGCCCCTGAGGAGATGGACTGGCACGGTGGCTGCAACCATGGGTTCAGGCACAAGGACAATTGGGAGCATGGCAGTGTTTCCTTCTATTGTGCAAGGGAGGAACCCACATGGGGGGACCTCACAGCACCTCCCAGGCGGTCAGTCAGGTAGCTGAAGTCAAGCTGGTTTGCAGGTGAGGCCCTGGTTTTCTCATCTGTGAAATGGGACGGTGGAAGGTGGAAGCACTTCGTGGAAAGCCCCCTTGGGATCTCTTCCCACCCCAGGATGCTCGGGGCCCATCCAGACACTGTCTCCTTCCTCATGAAGGAAGAAGCTAGGCTTCAGACATCCTCTTTGCCACCTCCCCAACAATGGTCCCTGGAGGAAGACAGGGCCTGGGCTTTTGTCCCCTCGGCTCCTCACACAGTGCTCTCTGCCACCGAGAAAACAAACAGGCTGAGGCTCAGCCCCAGCTCTCAGCCACATGCTGTGTGACACAGTCAAATGGGGTCTCTCTGAGCCCCGTTTCCTCATCTGTCCACGGTAAGGATTCGATGAGGTCACGACACGACAGTGCTCAGCAGGGTTTTGAGTGTTTGCAACAGCTACTTTTGTGGTTAAAGCCAACCCTGGTGGCACAGCAGTTAAGCACGTGACAGCTAAGCAGGTAGAAGGCCAGGCGTCTGAGCCCATTGGTTGATCTGTAGGGGAAAGAGGTGGAGATGTGGCCATCTGCTCCCGTAAAGACGGACAGGCTCTGAACCCCCCGGGGCTATTATTTGCTGTGCTTCAGGGCTGCTGTGAATTAGAGTGGACCCCCCTCCCCACCGCCCTGCAGTGGGAGGGGTCTTTTAGCTTCATCGGGGTTGACCCTACAGGGCCACTCTCTTTCTCGGGCTCAATAGGCTGTGCACTGGTTACGCGCCAGGTTCATAACCACAAGGTTCATGGTTCAAACTCAGCCAAGCAGTGCCGAGGCAGAAAGGCCTGGTGATCTGATGACCTAAGGTCACAGAACCTCTGCTGTGTCCCCTGGCGTCACTCAGGGGGTGATTCAAGACACCCCCACTGCTGAACCACACGGGTGCTGGTGCTGTGAAGACTTGGACCACGTGTCCTAATGACACAGGCCTCCCCTCCTCCCACACCAGCTCTCTCTGTGCCACTCCCCACCCCCCACCCCCACCTGCCCATCAGCCAGGTCTGCGGACCAGTAGCTGGACTGCCATGCCTGGATACGGTGGCACCTCCTGGCCACAGAAGCACCTACATCTCCCAGGGCAGAACCCAGCTGGGGGGGGGGGGGATAGCAGTTGGTCCCTAAGCTCAGAGCTCTAACACTAGAGCCACCTGTGCAGAAACCCCCACCCCGTGCCCCAACCACTATCATCAATGGCAGTATGAATCAGCCTCTACTCTTTACAGGTTAATGCAATCTATGTATTATTTATTTATCAGGCTGTAGTATTTGCTCAGAAGGCTCCCCTGAGAAATATAAGTGTGCACTGGGAAGCACATCTGAATAATATTTACAATTAATTTCCATCAATAAAGACCAGCACCGAGGCCTCCGGGCAGCTGGAACTGGCCCTGGGTCCGTTTCCCACCAACTGCTCCCCTGAGGACGTTTGGGGAGTATTTTTGTTTTTGTTTTTTCCTGTTGCTCTCAAACCTTCCAATTCCCTTCAGCGTTGCCTTTGCTCCCTCAGTCCCGGCCCCATCATTGCAGGCTCCCCTTTGGCCCGTCCTACCCAGAGCAGCCAGCTCTGCGTGCATCCCCTGACTTCGGCCTGGCCTTGTATTCCTTCCAGCCCTCTTGGCCCAGGCTCACCCCCCTCCCTGGGCTGCAGCCCGCATGGCCAGCATCCCTTAGAATCACTCTGTTTCCTCCCTCTGCCTGGGCTGCTCACTCGAGTAGCATCCTTCTTTCCTGCTCTCTGCCCCAAATGGGTACCCATCATCCTGCAGCTCCCTGGTGCCTCAAGGACTTTGTCATTGGCCTTTGGGCATGGCAGGGGTCCCGGGGTTATTTTTCTTCTGGGATAGGGATCCTTGGGTCACTAGTTGTGCCTCCTACTGGACAATGAAAGGGTTCACGAGAACTCTTGGTGTATGTCTTGCTTATCATTGACCGCAGTGACCACCAGAGGACACGGGAAAGGGTGGGGATTGAACACATTTTGGTGGAATTGACGAGTGAGTGAGTGAGTGAGTCAGTGAGTGAGTGAGTGAGTGGATCTATAGACGGTCATATAGATGGCTGGGATTCTGGAGTGAATTTGTAAATAAAGGGCGTGGATGAATGAATGGATGAGTGGGTGGATGGGTGAACAGATGGTGGAGAGATAGACAGGAGAACGTGTGGGTGAGTGGGTGGATGTTGGAGTAAACGAGTGGGTGGATGGGTGAGTGGATAGAATTAGGTCCTGGCTCCCTCCTGCTGGCCCAAGGCACTGAGCCCCAGGGAGGAGCACCATCCTGGGAGAGAGGTGGGGTGCTCAGGGGGTGCAGATAGTTAACACTCATGGGCTGCTGGGCAAAAGGCTGGAGCCTCGATTAGGGAAGAGGCAGAAAAGCCTGGCAATCAGCCTCCACCCAAAGCTCCCTGGGGCTCCCTCGGGAGGCCTCGGGAGTCGGTGTGGACTCCACGGGGGTGTGTTTGGGGACATCCGGGAAGCCCAAGTCACTGGCGCCTCAGAACTGGAATAAGCAACCTGCCACTGGGCACCTCTCTGGTCCTATCCACAGGCTTGGGGACAGGGCTGGCGGAAGTCCCCACACCAGGTTGGCAATCCCCTTGGTCTCAAAGATTCCTTACAGCGGTCTCGGAAGCCCCAGCTTGGGACCAAGCCGGAACAGCCTCCTGGTCAGCTTAGCGACCCAACGTGGGAAAGAACAGTTTGTCTCTTAACGAGGTGTGATTCCAAACAGGCTGGGGCCCGGAGGCCCTGCCCAGCAATGTGCAGACAGGACATCTGGTCCCCGTGTCTTCTGGGAGACATGGCGTAACAGCGAAAGGGCTTGGGAGAGACAGACACCCTGGGGCCGGTGGGCCTGGGCCTTGGGCCAGCCCCACTCCCTCAGCTTGCCCTGAAGGAGGGGAGGATGGACGTGGCGGGGATGGACAGCTGGGTGTCCAAGGAGCTGGAGGGCCAAATGCCTCTTCTTTACCATTTGGGGTCATTTGGGAAAGCTTTCGGCCAAGCTGACTTAACCGCCATTAGGACGATGTCATCCATCTGCTTAAAATGAAAACACACACAAAAATACCTCACGGCCACTGAGCTGATTCGAACTCACGAGGACCCCGAAGGGCAGAGTGGAACGGCCCCCGTGCGTTTCTGAGACTGTGCCTCTTGGCGGGAGTAGAGAGCCTCGTCTGTCTCCAGCAGTGCAGCTGGTGGTTTCAAACTGCGGACCTTGCGGTGAGCAGCACAGCATAGGATACACCTCCTACGCCACCAGGGCTCCTCACGCATCTGCCAAGGAGCCCATAGTCCTGGTTCTAACCTCAAGGGGACCGGGGTTCTTTCCGACTCCGTGGCTTCCGTGGACCCCACTGGGTGCTCTGGTGAACACTTCTCAACTGCTCAGAACCTCATGTCTGCCGCATGTGTGAACGGGCGGGGCGTTCCTGCGTGGTGCCCAGGGTTAGACACCTGACAGGGTGGTGGTTCGAATCTACTCAGGAGTGTCTTGGGGGACAAGTCTTGAAAACTGACAGAGCAGCGCCCCCCCCCCACAGGGGTCCCGTGGGGCCCCATGAGTCAGAATCAGTTGGAGGGCAACCATCACCACCCCCTGCCCCACCCCCACGACCCCCACGACCCCCACCATCACCACCACCCCCACCACCACCAAGGTACTTTGTCCCCAAGCCAGGTGCGCCGCCGTGCTGAATGAACAAGCCAACACACGGGAAGTGCTCGGTACAGAAAGTGCGAGATGCACGTGGCGATCACGGGAGTCCTCGAGTCAGGATCAAGAGGAAGGAAGAAGGCCCCGGGCGCAGCGGGCTGCCTTCAGCTTCTCCCTCTCAATGGCGACCGGGGTTGCCGAGTCTCGGCCCTCCTCTGCGCCTCGGGTCCCTCCTTTGCTCGTGACCTGGTGACACTCTCGACCCTAAGAAGACGCTGGTGTCGGATGAGGGCAGGCATGGGTGGGGGCTGCACACAGGGGTGGGGGGGGGCGAGGGGTAACCCACAGTGCCGATGGCACCCCCCTGGGCAGGATCTTGGGAATGCAGCTCCGGGACTCAGCTCCAGGGGTCTGATCCAGCAACCAAGCCCTAGGGCCACACTCCTCCCAGGGAGACCCTCCCAAGTTGCTCAGAATAAAACAGAGTGTGTGTGTGTGGGGTACCTCCTCAAGTTCTACCCCCACCACCCACTCTGAGTTATTTCATTCTGAGCAGCTCCAGGATGGTGGGGCGGGCTGGGGAGAGGCAGGAGATAGGGACCTCGGCCACCAGGAAGAAAACCCTCTGAAAACTCTGGGCCATAATCCCCCGCCTGGGAACCCCCTGCCCAAACCACTGTTGCCCTGGGAAGTTCGGGGGGGGGGGCAAGGGCGGGGCTGGCGAGGCGGCTGCTTCAGGGTACATCCTTTTAAGAGCCATCCCCCCTCCGTCTTGCCCTTGCAAAAGCCCATGAGACCCGGTCCCCAGCTTCTTCCCACCAGCTCCTACGTGGGTACTGCGTGTCCATGGGCTGATCAGGCACCCCCCTTTTCCCAGGTAGCCTGTGCGTTTCCACGGAGACCTTCCAAACACTACGCTGGAACCCAGAGGGAGGCTGAAGTGGTGGGATTTTTCTAGCTGATTATGAATGTGAATACGGGTGGGGGTGAGGGGAGAGTGTGTGGGACCCTCGATCAGATGGGTGGACACAGCTGCTGCGACCCTGGGGTCAAACATAACAAAGACTATCAGGGGGCGCAGGCCTCCTGACACAGTGTTACGATCTGTGGTCCATGGGGCTCAATCGAGGCCTGACACAGTGTTGCGATCTGTGGTCCATGAGGCTTGCTCCGATGAGTCTAACCGGCTCCATAGCACCTCGCAACCACAGGAGGGAGTGGCTTGGTGGTACCAAGCTGCTAACGCACTCGGCTGTGGGCTGAAAGATGGGCCGTTCAAGTCCACCCCAAAGCACTTTGTAAGTCAGGTCTGGTGAGCTGTTTGCAAAGCTGGGCCCCTGGCAGCCCTGCTCTGTTTCAGGCACAGGGATCGACTGGACAGCTCATGGGATCTGCTGCGTGGGAGCGAGAGAGAGCTCTCACCTTGTGTTTTTCCAAACCCCCTCTGCTGCCGCCCCCAAGCCTGGGCCTCGTGTCATGCCTGGGGAACGCATGGTTATAAGAACCGGGCTGCTGTCTGAGCCCCATGCCAGGTCCGGATGGTGGTGCTGGGAATGTGTCCTTTGCTCTTTGGTTTGGTCAAGCCTTGGGGTCCCGGGGAGCAGGGGTCCATGGCTGGGGACAATATGGCACGCTCTGTCCACCATCTCACGGGAAGAAGGAGGTTCCCAGGCCCGGATGTCCCGCTCACAACACTCCAAGGACAGTGGGCGCTGGTGGGAGCTGAAGAGGTTCTTGCCTTGGTCCCCAGAAGGCAAAGATGCACCTCTGGGCCTTCCTGGGTCGGCAGCGTCCCCGGAGGGCGTCCTACGTGGAGGCTCAAAGCATGCTGGTCTCCCGCTCGTTGGTGGAGCACCTCTCGTTCAAGGAGGACATCTTGGTGAAGCTCCGGTGGCTGGGGTAGGAGGAGTGGCCTGTGTCCTCGCTCAGCGCATTGACCAGGCGGGAGAAGAGGGTCACCTTGAACTTCTTGAAGTCCTGGCCCATGAACACGTACAGAATGGGGTTCATGCAGCTGTTGGCGATGGCGATGGCGGTGGCCAGGGGCAGCCCCAGGCTGAAGACGGAGCCAGGCACGGCCGCGTGGTGGAGCTCCAGGAGATAGAGCGTATGGTAGGGGCACCAGCAGAGGAAGAAGGTGACAATGATGGTGACAATGATCTTGAAGGGCTTCTTGGTCTTGGCCAGGCGGTTACGCCGCAGTTTGCAGACGATGGTGAGGTAGCAGGCGGTGATGACGAGGACGGGCACCAGGAAGCCACAGAGGAAGCGGGTGACGGTGACCACGGTGTGCCAGGTATACCCCACAGGGTCCAGTTGGCCGTGGGCAAGCCGCAGGGAAGGGTTGGCTCCGGACAGGCTAAAGTTGTTAAAGCAGGAGATTTTCCCATGCTGATTGGCCGTGTCCCGGAAGACCAGGGACGGGGAGCTCAAGAAGAAAGCCGAGACCCAGATGACCACGCAGGTCGCGTAGGCCAGCCTGACGCCCCGGTGGTTCTGAGACCAGACAGGGAGCAGCACGGAGATGCAGCGGTCGAAGCTGATGACCGTCAGCAGGAAGACGCTGGTGTACATGTTGTGGATGAGCAGGAAGCTGCTGATCTTGCACATGGCCGTGCCAAACACCCAGTGGTAGTCCAGGGCGGTGTAGGCAATGTGCAGCGGCAGGAAGACGTTGAACAGGAAGTCGGCCACGGCCAGGTTCAGGAACCAGACGGTGTTCACAGTCTTCTTCATCTTGAAGATGGTGATGACGATGACCAGGCCATTGCCCACAATTCCCAGGAAACAAATGGTGCTGTACACAGCCACCAGGAAGATCCTGGCCACCCTGGCTTCCAGGAGGGGCGATACCTCCTCCAAGATCACAGTGGAGCTGAAGTCCTCCTCGTCGTAGATGGCGAGCGAAGCGTTGTAGTCCTCGTCCTCCATTCTCTGCGGGGGAAGACAGGGTCTCGTTAGGGGAACCAGGTCTCCGACCCTGCAGCCCCCGTGCCCTCCCACCTCCCCGCCCATCGATCTGCCAAAGAAGGCCTCCCTCCAATCAGAGGGTTCTGCTGGGTGACACCACGGATCCAGCAGATGCCTTCACCGTTGGGTGCCGTTGATGGCTGTCATCGTGGGTCCATGAGACAGAGTGGAACTGCCCCAGGAGGTGGCCTGGGCTGGCATCGTGACAGAAACAGATCCCTGGGAGTTTCCTCCCAAGGAGCAACTGGGCAGCCTCAAGGGGCCACGTTGTGGGTCAGCAGCTGAGCTGCTTATGTGTTATCCAGTCAAGGGCATCAGGGAAATCTTCTGGGAGGATATTTCAGAGGTGCCGGCGGAGGGTGGGGTGGGGTGGGGGTCCCAGACAATGTACTGGAATACAGACAGAGATGGGCATGGTAATTGAAGGACACATGGCTTGCATTAATAACAAGAATGGGTGGCCTGGAGCTGTGCTCAGAACCTCAGCTAGATCCCCTCACTTTTGCCCCCAGGGAGGGGGTACAAGAAAGCTCAGGGAGATGAAAACCCTTGCCTGAGGCCTTTGGTCAGATGTAGGAGGGCTAGAATTTGAACATGGACCTTACAGAATCCTGGCTCTTGACCACTACCCAGTACTACCTTGTGTTCGCTCTCTGCCCTGGGGCCGGAGTGGGGATGTGCCTAGGGGCCACTGGGCTCCCCGAATTCTCTCTAGGTGGCTGATATTTTGGAAGTGGCTCGCCAGGCCTTTCTCCCAAGGCACTTCTGGGTAGCCGGGAACCAGGGACCTTTCGGTGAACTGTCCTAGGATCCCAGAGGAGGGACTTGTTCCCAGCCTGGGAGTCCAGGAAGGCTTGCTGGGGGAGGCAGTGTCTTCGATGAATACGGGTAGACAAGGTGGATGAAGGAAAGAGGCATGTGGGACAGTGTCTGGCAGTGGGCCAGCATCTGAATGGGAGAGGAAGAGTGGACTGGGGCCCCAGCACATGGCCCAAACATCCCCAGGGCCGCACTGGACTCGGGTGGCGTCCTGTCTGGCTGCCCCCACAGGGTTCTGAGCAGCCCGGGGGCAAAGGTCACAGCCTGTCCTCTTTGAGCCACGGCCAAGCAGGCGACACTCGCTTCCTCTGAGCAGTCGGCTCATCCACACCCAGCCTTCATCCTACTGGGAAGGGCGTCCATCAGTGAGCCCCCTGTGGAGGCAGCCATTGTGCACGACGGCCCTACTCCCCCACCCAGGCCGTCAGCAATCATTGGAAGTGGGGGTTCAAGGCCCAGGTCTCTGTTCCAACCCCACACACGTCCCCGCTTCCACAGCCCAGGCAGGACAGCAGATGGGTCAGCACACAGGCTTTGGAGTCTGGCCAGGCTGTCTACATGCAACCCCAGGTTGGGTTGGCCATGAACTCCTTTCGAACCAGCTGCCCTCTGCACACCTCCACTGCCTGGTCCACACAAGGGGTTGGATAACAATAGTTTCGACTTCATGGGATGGCTTTGAGGGTTCAGCAGACTGCTGCGTATACAGTACTTGGCTCAGGGTCTGTCGGGATCTGAGAGCCAAGTCCAAACTCCACAAACCAAACTCACTGCCATCGAGTTGATGCTGACTCAGCGACCCTAGAGGACAAGGTAGAAATGCCCCTGTGGGTTTCTGAGACGGTCACTCTTTATGAGAGTAGAAAGGCCCCCGTCTTTCTCCCCCAGAGCAGTTTCGAACTGCTAACCTCACTCTAGGTTAAAAGCAGACAGGAGAGTGGGGGACACAGAGCCCTGCCCCAAGCTAGTCTCTTCCCCTCTCAAATGTCATCTTCAGGTTGGGAGAGTCACCCACAATGACAAAAGCCGTGACACTTCGGTTATTCATATTCTTTAAACCTCCACAAACAGGAGGCTTATCAAAATCAGTGTGTATAAATGAAAGGCTACGTCAGAAAGTATAGCTGCCATGGCTCCAGATGCTCCCCACACAGCTTGTTCCAAAGAAAACATGTTTAACCATGATTCTGCGACCAGCGGCTGGCTGTAGACAGGGTCTTTCATCTATGTCTCCTTAGGGGACCTTAAAAAAAGAGGTCCAATCTAAGCAGTCGTTTCCGAGGGGTTTGGCTGGGCCAGTTGCCTTCAAAGCCCAGAGGTGGGCTCAGAAGATGCTGATGACTGCTCCTGGAACTTCGAAGAAGCTAACTTCCAGATGTCCTCAAAGACGCCACGGTGACCATTGGGCAGCTCAGAAAACTGAAACCACCATGGGAGAAAAAAGACCACGAAAGGTGGTGTCCACGGTCCCCTCCACCTCACCCCCCACGCCCACCCCCACTCATTCTTCAAGGGCTACAAGGGCTGCCCTACAAGAATTCCACTGGGAAACCCTGACCCCATCCACCCTACAGCTTGCTGCGACCTTGCTCCTGCAGACTTGAGTGTGCTCCCAGGCTCAAAGACCACGACGTGAGTCCCTCCGGGATGCCCCCACTGCCTGTTGATGTGGTGTCAATCCAAGAGCTCAGAATTCTTCTGGGAAGGATTAGAGCCATGGAGACACTGCCGTCAGAACGGGGTGGACTAACGTAGAGGATGTGTCCAAGACCACTGCTTCCGGTTTTGATCTTTTTTTGGATAAAGGCTTCTAGGATTTTGTAGCGATACTTTTTTGACTTACCCTCAAATGTGCCTATCGGACAGCCGGGGGTGAGGGCAGCTGGGCGCCAAAGGCAGGGGGCAGGAATTGAACCCAACTCTCCCGAGTTGAACAGTGAACCTTCTGCCACAGAACGAGTGGGACCAGAGGACCTTCCCGCTCAGAACCAGCAACAGCAATGCTCCGCTTGGGGTACATTGGAAACACATGCTCACAGATCAGCAAGCGGGTTTTGCAAGAAGACAGCTGAATGTTAAGGACTCATATTGAACCAATTAAGAGGGTCCTGTGGGGGAGGGGGTGGGCAGTGGAGTAGGAAGTGGGGATGAAAGGAAATGAGTACAATGGAGTAAGAGAATCGGACAAGTAGGGGCGGGGCCTCCCAGAGGCCAACAATGGGAAGGAGGAGGGTGTCGTTTTCTCAACTCACGCCTCTTGTGAGGCACAGAGAAACCCCAAACTGCACACAACTGCAAAGACCTGCCTGGGGTTCACGCCTGGTGTCGCCCAGCCTGGTGACCTGACAAGGTCCCCCTGGGCAGGCTCAGGGCCAGACAAGCAGGACCGGGTCCTGTCTGGGGTCTCCAGGGACTCCCCCTAGCAACTTGGACAAGCCCACTGCAGCGGACATAACCCCTGCTGGGGGACAGGATGGTCACCAGGCGGAAGAGGCTACGACGGATGGCTGTGGCCTGCCCGCACCCCCTCCCGTGTGGACCCTCGCTGGGGACAGAGTGGGGCTGAAGGCCACATCCGGTCCCTGTAGCCACTGAGAACAAACACCTCAGGCAGATGCCGTGAGCCCACTTGTTGCTAAAGGGATCCGTGCAGGAAGCTTCAGAACGTTGACGGGAAACTTCCAAGCTTTGATGATTCCATTTGTACATGACCTTGTTTAAGCCCACTCATACACAGCGTCCCTGGGATGCTATAACGGCCCAGCAGCTCCTTGGGAGAAAGACCAGGCTTTCTGCTCCTGTGAAGGGTTATGTCCTATAGGCTGGCCATGAGCTTTTTTTGGTTTTTGGACAGGGTCAATGCGAGGCGGCACTAAGCAGCCCTGAGAGAGACTCGGTTACTAGCCCAAAGGTTGGTGGCTCGGACCTACCCGAAGCACCTTGGGGAACAAGCTCTGACAACCTGCTCCCCAAAAGCAACCCCTCTGGAGGACCACCCCCCTCCTGGTGTACAGTTCTACTCTGCACACGTGGGGTCACCATGAATCCAGAGTGTTTTCAGGGCCACTAGAAATACCACCCCATCCCAGGCACTGTCCCACTTAGACGAGGAAACCGAGGCACCGAGAAGGTGGACAGCGTGCCCATGGTCACACCAAGAGTTCAGGGAGCCAGGTAAGTCCAGTGAGATCTTCAGGATAGATGACAATGCTCGGGGATGGGGCAAGTGGGCCCGATAGAGAGCCAAGGCCGCACGCTTTCTTGTACTCTGCCTCCCCTCTGCAGAACATTCCGGATCCTGGGAACCTCAGAGAGCCCCCATGGGACAATCTGGCTGTGTGTTTTACAGGTTGGGCAAGAGAAGGTTCCAGATCCTCAGGGGGTTGGGGCCAGACTGGAAACACCAGGATCCCATG